CCCTTAAATTATCCTTTTCTATTCTTCAATTAACACATTCTTCAATTAACACTCGATGCACCTTTAAACCTTAATGTCTACTTAATAACATCTTAATTAATTAAATAAACATTTTATATAAATAAAATACCGAAACTCAAACCTTACCTAAATTTGCTCGGGCCAACCTCCCTCCTCCCTTAGCTTGCAAAGTTCACCTACTTCTTCTCCCTTCAAGCTGAAATTCAATATCTTGAGTCCGTCCTAATTCAGATAAATTTTCTATTAACATTAATTAAATACACACTCACAATTTATATTTATATAAAATTTATTAAATAACCTAATCAAAATCTTAACTCACTTTTAATAATGCTCGGTTGGTTTGGTCTCAATCGATCCTTACACAACCAATGATGCACGGAGAACAGTATGGAGGAGGTCTTCCAAGAAAATATTGAACCAGATTCAGACCGCTTCGATGTTGTCCTAAAACGCACGTGCACAATACATCCCTACTTCCTTCGAGCGCTTGGTCCACTTCTCCTCCTCTCGACAAAGCCACATACCGTCTTCCCATTGGTTCTTGTTCTTTCACGTGACGATCACTTCTAAAACACTAGGCCACAAGCTCCTCTTGAAATCTGAGATCTCCCTCGCCTCCTCCTATGTCTTCCTTCAGCTAAGGTTCGACACAACAGTGACGTCGAACGCATAGCTCCTCGAAGCAGCAATTCTTCCTCTTCTCTCGGTTAGGATTTCCTTCTTCAGCTACGCAAGAGTCAAAGCCTTCCAAGCACGTAAGTCGTGACTTCTTCCCTTCCTCCTCTTTGTTCTTCTTCCCTCTTCCTTCTCCTTTATTAATCAGCTAGGGCATGCACAAAGTTTTTCCTTCTCATAGTCTCCCACTCTCGTTTCCTCGGCTCTCTCGCTTTCTTTCTATCTCAACTCTTCCACGATTCTAAAATAAGTGAGCCTCCTTAAGTGAAATTGTCAAGACAGTTATTCAATCCCACCAATTAAATTTTCTTTTAATTAAAATTTCAATTATTATAGTTGTCAACTGAAATTATTAAGCACAACTACAATAACGTGTTCTTTTGCAGTGTATTAAGTTTTCCCAATACCTCGTATCTTTTCAAACTATGGAATTTGTTTAATAAGGATATACCTCATGGTTAACCCAACCCCGCGCCATACCACCAACACTAAAAAAATTTGTTTCTCACACTTCACTTGTTTATGTTTCTGAGATAGACAACCGAGATTGATCATCACTCCAATGGCTCAATTTCCCTCAAGCAAGAGGTCTGGTTTAACATAATATGCTGCAAGAAAATGAGGAACAGCATGGATTCTAACAACATATTGAGTGCTAAAACAATGAAAATATTGTGGAAAAAGAAAAGAATAGCAGAGTGACAGAAAATGTAGCTGCAAATAGCTTTATTGGTAGGGGCTACCATAGTTCCCAAATTAATGTCCGGAAGGATAATGACTGTCATTAATAGCATTATCCTAACCATTTGGGTCAACATTACTGCTAGAAAGGGAAAAAACACATTTTGTGCGTGTGTATAAGTTCATTAAGTATCTTCCAAAATTCTAATACACAACAAAATCTGTTTTAATAAAAAGGAAATAACAACTTTGGATACAAGAAAATATAACTACCGGAACAAGAAAAAGATGCCAAAATCAACACGCAGAATCTGTCTAATCCATGGTTTAATGGGATTTCGGCAAGCATTTCTCATTAGTTAAACCTGACACAAATTAAATCACCTAAAACATGTATAGACACCAAGATAAGAAAAGATATCATGTACCTTTGCAGTGGAGAGAATGAGAGTTGCATGCTTGGCTTGCCATTCATTAAGATCCTTCCGTACATTGGATGGTGTGGTGCTTTCATCGATATCCATTTCGTCTGTAAAAAAATGCCATCAGAAAGCATTTTAGTGGAAGAATCCAAAACTATTTATTTATTTCTTTATTTGGGAGAAAGATTAAGAAATATGATGCATCCACAATAAGAATGAAGTGCAAGATGAGTAGTAATCCATATGGCAATGCAAATCAACAATTAGGAAGTAGAAAAAACTGAAAACCCCGCATCTTCACCAATATCAACCATAACGAAGAAAATCGCCGATTAGCACGTTAAAAACTGGGTGTGTGACATTGATTACAGCAATGTTAGCTTTAAATGTTCACAAGAGCTACCTACTTCAGGGTAAGAGCTACGAGGAAGACAAAAGGCGAAAAAAGAACATCCCATCACTCCCAATACCGTCATTTCTCTGAATATTCCAGTAAAACACACTCGGACAAGCTCTAAAAAAAAAAACGCGAATTCGAGAATGATTATGAAGCATACCTTCCATGGGAAAATCTCTAAACGTATTGATGGTGAGTCCTTTAACGAATTCCTTGAGCTCATCGGTAATGCCAAACCTCTCGAGATCGGGTGAAGCCTCCGCAGAGACAAAGGATCCAGAGGCGGTGGCTGTAAGGGCGTTAACGGGAATAGGGATCTCACCGGCGAGAGTCTTGATCTGGTCGGCACGACGCAGTGCTTCAATCTTGATTTGGTCGGCGGCCTTGGTGGCCTCGGCGGCGAGCTCTCTGGACTTCTTTGCTGTCTCGGAGACGAACTCCTGAGAGAATTTGGCCGCTCCTTTGGTCAGCTCCTGAGAGCGCTTCGCTGCCTCCTCCGCCCGCTTCGCCGCCTCCTCGGCGAAAACTTTGGCCCTTTTCCACAGATCCATGGCGAGGCAGAACTGTAGATGAAGGGAGAAGCAGAGATCCTGGTGGGATTATTGAAGTTGTACATGAGTCTCGTCTCGGCTCTGCCTGGTAATAAAAATTGGTGGTACGAGGCTAACGTGCGTTAGAAGGGTCAACACTCGAGCATTTGGTTTCTAGTCAATAGTCATCCTGCCTGGTTATTGATATTACACCCTATGTTAATCCATTTATTTGAATTGAGACTTTCAATAAAGATAGATTTCGAGTTATAAAGCAAGAGTCTCGAGGCGATCTGATAGTCCAAGAAAAGAATGATTTGGCAATGTTGGACCAAGCGAAAAGTGATCCGAGGACCCAAGAAAGCCGACAGACTCATGCTAGTGCGTATTAATTCAAACCAACCCAACGATACATATCCATAAGATATCGTCTGCTCGAGAATACAAGTTTATTCAACTTGCAAGAATTTCCCATGGCGGGAATCAAGACCGACGACCAACTCAACTCATCTGACTGGCCAACATCAGCTGAATGGATCCATCTATACGGTTATCTCCATGAATCCGCTCGATTGTTGAAACCTAAAAGCTCAACCGACAAACAGTCCCCCTTTACAAGGCCAATCGATAGCGTTAATCTACTCACCTCCTCAGCCCTAATCGACCGAGCAAGATAACGATAAAACCATGAGCCCACAGGGGTTTATTTACCATAATTACATGTATAACCACCCAAAAAGTGATGTTATTAATGTAATTTTTATTCATTGTTCACCCTCTCCTATAAATAGAGCAGTTTTTTCATGTAATAGAACTTTTTGTCTCTCCCTGTTCTCTTATGTATCTTCTTATAAGTGTGGACTTGGGCTCTTCAACTTCTCCATGTATCAAGCATTTGATTATATAAAAAGTGTTGCCCGAGAGGGGACTAGTCAATGTACACTCATCTCTCTCTCTCTTTCTCTCTACCTTTCTCTATATCTCATGCTTCAACGCTCGAATCCCTTGGGTGTGCCCCCCTCCCCCGGACAAATGTGAATTCAACAATGTATATATATATATATATA